TTTCGGGATCGACGTTCGTACGCGTCGGCTCTTAGCGGCGCACGCGGGATATACACACGAGATGGAGAAATTCGTTACTGGTGATAACATATGCGCTCCATTTCCCATTCCCTTTCCCATTTTCCAGCGATCACGGAAGTTCGCAGACATCAAAGCTAAGGAGCTCGTAAAACACCGAACAAACTCGCAGAGTATCCTGTATCTTGATTCGCGGACGGCTTGACTTGTGTTACTGCCGCTACTATCCTCCCCCCCCCTCCCCTCCCGAATTTATTACATCGCGAGTTACCGGATCCCGGAGATGTAGCATTCGTGTCGCGCCGTTGATGGTGCTCGTGAGCACCACGCCGTGTGTCACGTTTCGACGAGACGCGCGCATCTACCGGGTCTTCTCTGTACGTCGCTTTACGATCCGTCCTGCTATCCCGTTAATTAACCAATTAAGCGATTCAGCCGAGACTCGCTCGTGTTAATATCCAATATCCGCAATCGAATTCGTCCATCTATCGTACGACGCGATGTCAAAATCCAATATCGCGGGGTAAATTGAAGAGCGAGAGGACGGACGAAAGGGCGGTGTTACTTTCCCGGGAGAGTCGACAAATAATTATCCGTGTGGCGATACACGCGCTCCCAGCAGCGGAGCGCTTCTCGCGAATTCTCCGGGCGATTTCAAGCGACGTCCGGATGTAATTAAATGATCGCGACTGACGCGATTGGAAATAATCCGCTCTCGCGATAAATCGAAAAGAAAAGAGCGACGGCGCGAATGCCGGAGGAGAAAATGGTTGATTCGCGCTGTCGTTGATTGATCAAACGCGCAGCAGCCAACGAGGGAAGCAACGTGTGTCGCTGAGATCGAGCGTCGTTTGTCGGACGGGACGCTTATAAAATCGAGCTTCCGGAGGACAGGTGGGCGTCGAAGGGGCGCTCGAGAGGGTCCGCCAACGGATTCTCCTCTCAGCACCGGCGAGTGCCAAGACGCGTTCCTCGGGGCGGGATCAAAGCCGGCGCGAGGAGCGTCTTCGGGGCCAATTAGAGTGGCGCGCGTTGGCGGATAGGAGGGCGAAGTTTGTCGTTCGAGCCGGTCGACGACGATTCATTTTTGTCGCGCGTTCAAGATGACACGATAAAAGACGATAACCGAGCGAGACAGAGCGAGACTCGGTCGCGTTTCGTTTCCATTCCTTTCGTTGAGCGTACGTCGTTGCGGACGATTCTTGCGGGACGACCATCGAGGGCGAAACTGCGTGTAATTCCGACGAGGGCCGGCGAGAGGGGATAGAGCAGATGGAGAAGGGGGGGGGGGTAGAAAGGGCGGTTGGTTAGCCGGGGTCGAATTGCCGAGGATCCCTCGGCTCGATAACGTACGCCGAGCTTCTTAACTCGGGGATAGGGTCGGATCTAGATTTGAATCACGTAGAGAAATCCTCCCCCGTCGCCCTCTTCGCCGACGTCGTGTACGCGCGTGTGTGCGCGGTTTCGCGCGGCCCCGGTTAGCTGATCGCAGATGGCGAAGATCCCATCGTGTAGGACGCGCGCCGGTAAGCCGACGTTTCGGATTTCTCCAAATCCGGCGTTAACGTTCGAGCGAGGCGCGCTTCTTCTCACCGTCGGATCCGCCGAGTAACAACGGTTAAAATTGTTACTCGTTATCCGCAAAGTACTCGGGCATCTCCCCCCCATCCTCCCCTCCATTCCCTTCTCGGAATATATTTCCAGAAATGGACGGTTTCAACTCGCTCGCTAGTCTCCCTTCTTCCCAGCCGAGGGAGGAAGAGAGCGGGAAATGATGATTCCGAGCGCGCGCGAGTTGGAAAGGCAACCCTTTCGACCTACTCCGGACAATACTTCGCCCTTAATTCCCGCAACGAGCTCGCGCGTACCTGAAGCGCCGCTCCCTTCTCCGAGCGTCTTCTTCGATCGAGCGTGGCGTATTTAAGGGGCGCGCACGAACCGACGAGAGACGATCGGAGAACGCGGCTGTCTGTCTTCCGAGTGGCATTAATAGGTCTTTGTTTCGCCGTAGGTGAGAGAGACACCGGCCGGGAAGATGCCCAGCAGCGGCAGCAGCACGTCGTCCGCGCGGCTCTATTATTCGAATGTGGAGCAGATATCGGTTGTCGATATTGCCATTCGCCCGTCTAAATATCCGATCGATCGATCCCTTTCGCGTCTCTACCTTCGTCCACCCCCTCGGGGCCTCCACGAGAGCTGCTCCCTTCGGCCCTTCTTCCGCCGTACGCTCCGCCGTCGGCAATTCCGTATTCTCGCCCAGACTTCCTCCCGGTCTCTCCGTTAGCCCGTTATCGCAGACCTAACTCGTGATAACGGGCCTACAGCGGCGCACGTACGTATCGGAGAATCCAACAATGTCGATCGTTCCGAGACGTTATTGCGGCCGCTTTTCTCTTCGCGCGCTAATCGCGCCGATTCGCCCGTCGCTCGCTCGTCGGAGGAAGCGCCGACTCGTACCACTGAAAAGTTAACCGCACTCCCCGAAGGGAAAGCGCTAAAATTACGGCCCACCTTTCTAATGATTCGCCGTCTCGCTGAGGAGAGAGAGAGAGACATTCAAACGGTAAAGTAGTTTGACCTTCGTCTGAAAGCTCGTCTCGATCACGGAGCCGCGAGCGGCTCGTCCGGCTGAACTCTTAATCCCTCGCACCGCGGAAACGAGGGAACTCGATCCGCTGCGAAGTCGTGAAATTCTTTCCTGGAGTACCGGCCCGCCGTCGAACGCGAGGGTGGAAAAACCGAGCCGCTTGTTCTCGTGGAAACGGAAATACCGGCTGCGCCGGTATTGATTATCGGTCGGCGGAATACGATGAACCGGAGTCTGCTGTCGAAACGGCTAATTTCATTATTCTCCGCAGCCGCTTCCCCAGCGCAATTATCATCGTCGTCGTCGCATTATCGCGACTACGTGCAACGGTACTCGCGAGCTCAGCTGCCGTCCGTCTATCACGCGATCCCGCGACAATGCCGATAACACCGGAGGCGGAGGGAAAATACGGAGGCGCGCGCCACGATCGAGCGGGACGTGTATTGGCACACGATAAGCCGGCGGTGACCGCGAGTGCAGCAACGTCGAAATATCGACTTAACTGCCACGCGTGTAACATCTACCGCGCGCCGAAGAGAGCCGCGCGACAGTTTTATTCCGTTATACAGCGGCTCCCGGCGAATACGCGACACCCTATCTATTTAATCCCGCGCCGTAGATCGATTCCGCAAAGCTCCCGGCGGGACAACTCTTCGACGGCGAAAGGATCCAGATAAGCGACAACTTTTTTCTACGCCGCTCGATCTGAATTTTAAATCAGCCGTCGCGGTTTGTTCAGCGGTAATCGCCTCAGGAGCCCGGAGCTCCGTTACCTGTGAAATATTACAATTGCTTTGACGAATTCAGCGCGCCGATCTGTCAATAAAACAAGACGTCGCGCTGGAGGAAGATCGACGGCGTGGCGCTCCTTTGAATTTACCATTGACCGTTCGCGACTGATTTCGTAATCCTTCCGACTTAACTTCAAGACGCTATATCGGATCGAGATGAATTCTCGTGTACTTTTACGATCGAAGCATACAACGAAACTGGGGACCGACTTACCAAGTGTTAACCATTTGGTGCGCAGCTTTGTATATACGCGAAAATCTTTTCTCAGTGCTTATCCAGAACTCGCGAGATCATAAACGACCGTTTAAAAAGACACTGAAACTTCTAGAGAAAAATGCACACACTTAGAAGCTAAATTATAATTCACTCTTATATTGTATTTTTTACGTATTTTCGCACGTTTTTATTACACTGGATTGCAACGGCCGAAATTAAACTTCAGATCTTTGTTTGGCAAGCTTGCTTTACTTAATCAAAATAGTCGCCGTCTACTGCGATGCACTTCTGCCAACGTGATGAATTTAACGCGAGATTTTTTGAACGACTCCCATCCTCATCAGAAGCGGGAATCCACGTTGTTTCGTGTCGCCACGACTTTTTAACGCGGAGATATCGACGAGCGATGAAAGAGGCTCCCGGATGACAATGATGTTGCCCGCCAATCGCCGACAAAGTTTCGCGTGCCGTCTTTGAAAACATCGAACTCTTCGAACCTTTACATCTCGATGAAAAATTGACATATGGTCGTGAAACAAACGCCGATCTCGGCGTCTCGCGCGATGTTCGCGTATATAATTACGGTATGTGATGCAAGCGATATATATCGTTGCACGGAAGTGCCGAAATACGGAGCGCACCGAAATAGAGGGAAAGTGATACGAGTTTCTATGGCATAAAGCACAAAGTTTCGCCCTGTACACTCCGTTCGATTCGTCCGACAGATTTTCGGAAATCTCGGACAAGTCAGAAACGATCGCAGGACCGATCGTAAAACTTTACACGGATTGGCTCGGAACTCGGAAAAAACGGGGAGGGGAAATCGAAAATCGATGACGATGGCCACGGAAACGCGCTTCGTGCCTCGTAAAATCTGTTGCCCCATACTTTTACACTGTATCTCGCGGACGTGGAAAGCGCCGAGCGCATCGACGAAAAGCAGACGGATAGAGAGAGAGAGAGAGGNGGGGGGGGGGGGGGGGAGTCGACAAATTATTGCACGAGTTGTATTTATCCGTCGGATTATCCACGATTACTTGACTCGCGGCTGACGAACTCTGCGCACGAGTGCAAGGTCAACATTGTTGAAAATTAACCGATCCCGTGGAGAGAGACGGCTCTCGCGTATCGCCGCGCATTTTAGCGCCGATCTCGCGCACACTTGCCCGCCCGCCGGGAAACGTTATTTGCAGCCACTGAATTAACGGTTATCGTTGATCCGTGATAATCGAGGGAGGGAAGGGAGAACGGACCGACTCTCGCGAATTCATCTCTCGAGGTCGGGCCGGAGATAGCGCAACACGTTAATCCGCCGGTTAATCCGTCAAATTAAACGGGCCGACCGCGGTCGGATTAAATTTGAAACGTCTAACGGGGAGGCGCTCACCGTGCTCCACGTAATAGCTGGTCTCGTTGTACCGTTCGTCCGTGAATCCCGGCCTCTTCGCTTTCAGCGCTTTCGTTTCCAATTTTGCCTGGAACAAAGAACGCAGTAGATAAGTGAGCAGCTTGGTCAGCTGCGGCTACACGCGACTTGGTGCTGCGACGGCACATGTATGCTCACACATACACACACACACACATATATATATATTATATATACATTTGAAATAGCCGCGTTCCATATATACACGACGAAAAAAGGATATAAAACAGTTGCTCCATAACAATAGCTTCGATGGCGACAAAAGTATTGAGAAGCAGCGAAAATGGACGAATGTCATTTGCGCGCGTTTTCGTCGAGAGAACCACATCCGGGGTGTTTTTCGCGTTCTCGCCGCGGCGGGATAACAATGCGGAAAATACGCGGGAGAAAGAACGCCACGCCAATCGAATATCCTTAATGCGAGGTGGCAAATTATATTTCGCCGACCGCCCCAGTTTTCGCCGGATAAAATTTGCGACAAAAATCGCGACTCCCGCCGCGATTTATGACGGGCCCGATTAAAAACGGAGATATACATGCCGCGTTATTTGTCATTCGCGGACTGAAATAAAGGGCGCGGTAGATAAGTGGACGAGCACAGCCAGTCAGACACGGCTCCATACGCGCGCGCTCTGACGTATGGCGACGATAAATTTATCATACAAAAAATGCGCCATTTACCCGCAGGACAATAAGGGGGACAAGGCGGGGATAACGGCCGGCCGGCGCAGAAATGAGAACTCCCGGCCGCAGTTTTCCCGCGCATTGTCGCCGCCGCTCGCTCGCTTATTGAATTATCATACGCGCGGATCATTCGCGGATGGCGGGGGAAATCGCGCCGGTTGAATTACACCGCGAGGCGGTGTTGCTCATCCTCGAAACGCGCGCGACAAAAGGAAGCCGCGAGAACAAAGGCAACGTCGATACTCGAGTATCGTGCGATACCGGCGATAAATCCCGGCGAAACTGCCCCAAAGTTCTCGCGACGTTACCGTGTTCGCCGCGGCGTGTCTCGCGAAATTTTCGCGGGGCGACGCGCTACACGTGCTCGCGAAAATTTACAAGCTCAGGCGTGAAGGCAAGAAAACGACGGAAGGATGCGGGGGGGGGAGGGTGGAGGTGGCTAATTGTTACGTACGACGTGATGAAAAGCGTGCGAGCGACCGGAAGGACCAAATGGCCGGAATTACGCGACGACGACGCGCGTCGGCTGCGATGCAACGAGATAAAGACGATTTTGCATAAACTCCGCGCGATTAAGGCCGGTCCGCGAGAAACGAGGCTGAAATTGCGCTGCGTGCGGCTAATTAAAAAGTAACGCGCCACGGCTCACGTAGCGCGGACGTGCAGGCGCATAATGCGCTCGCATTTTCGCGTGCGACCGCCGATGCGCGTCGTCTCGCTTCATTTTGATACTCGGCGAACCGTGATATTCCGCGATGGCGAGCGCCCGATTAACGAAACGAGTGTAAATCATCGAGGCACGTGCGAACCGTCCCCATGTACAGCTTACTCGAGCATTTCGCTGGTAGATTTAATCGCCGGAGCAATTTATTTATTCGCGCGCACTCGCACGCATAGATCTTCCTTTGAACGTTCTCTTCACGCCGACTGCGTGAAGTTTTCATGAAATCCGCTATCACTGACAAGAGTCGTCGCGAGACATCGGACGTTATTGTGTACGATTGTTGGAAGAAATATCCCACGCTGCCGAGGAGGATCCAAGTGTGCGCGAGTCGTCTTCCGGTACTCGCTAGCGAAATAGCGCGAGTCAAAAGGCGCCGGTCTCGCGCGTCAAGGAATCACTTTGTTAAATCGTCCGTTGAAATTAATAACGACGAATACGGCGCGCACCGAATGGCCGTTACTCGCTCGTTCGAAACAAACGGCGCATTATATTAATGGATCCTAATATTCGTGCAGGCGACACGTTTTAATTAACGTGGACAATAATTAGTCGAAATCGCGGTGCATCGATCCGCGTAAATCGGATTACGCGGGGCGCTGCGCGAATTTTCAATGGCCGGTAGAGTCGTAGCGGACGAGAGACGGCCGATATTGGGATATCGATAGATGAGAAAGATTCCTCTGCGGACTTACGCGCGCATATCCATCAACAATTATCAGGACGGCGGACGTTCCAGCAGAAATGTAATTAGATTGCCGCGGAAAATCCTCTGGCGAGTCGCGGATTGAAATTATCGTCGGACGGTGCGACATCGATGCCCGCGCGAGCCGGCGCAATTTACGAACAAGTTTACGAGGGTTATCTAATTACACGTGATGCATACCGAGAAACAACAGCGAACGATAACAATACCATTTCCCCGGGGTCGTTTTTTCCTCACGGAGTGAAGGTGTAAAAGGCGTTCCTTTCGTGAAACAAAATAACACTCCGTCGTTGCGGCTTTTGTTTTCTGATTTAAGCTGGCGTAACCGTATCAGCAAAATATTATGCTGAATAATGCATTGAATGCACAATCGCGTTTTTGCGCCGGTGCATCGAGTTACCATCGCATTACAGCTAATTGTAGTTTGCATTAATGACCGGCCATTTTAACTCGCTCGTTCTCGCGAGAACGAGCTAACAAATATTGAGTGGAAGCATCTGCGAAAATTAATATTTATATTTGCCTGTCGGCGCGCGCGCGTCCGGAGGTCTGCTTAAAGAGCAACGGCTAATCGCGTTTCGCTCGAACATGCATTTTCGTTAAACAACCATTGACCCCGAACGAGCAATTAAACGATATAATTGATTCATCCGCGCGGCGACCGATCAAAATGTCCGGGGAGTAATAGCGTCAAGAAGCACGAGAGTAAGGCGACATAAGGTTTTCGTTTGCACAGCGCGCGATGCTTTCTCGGCCGTCTAATGAAACACGATCAATCACTCGCGATATATCGGACGATAAAATCCTCCGCACAAATTTATATGATCGGTAGCGTGCGCAACGCTCAGACATATATTTCCGTCGCGAGACAATAGCTGCAATAAATACCACGCGATTCAGGGTGATTCATTATTTCGGACGGACTGTGTCAGTCTCTTTGTTCCTCCGACAGTGTTTTCGCGCTCCGCCTTGAAAAACGTAGTAGTACCTGTCGTCGAATAACAAACATCCGGCTTCGGTCCCGCTCGAGTACCTCGTTAACCGTAACGAGGCTGCTCGAAATTTTTGCTTAAATAATTAACGCTCCCATTACGTATTGTTTGCGATCTCGGGCGAAAACGTTAGTCACCGCGGCAACCGCGAACGAGGCCGCCCGACGACTATCACCGTCGCGACGACGACGAGGAGGACGAGGAAACACGAGACTCTCCAGGCCCACAAAGAGCACAGAGTTACGAGGAGACGCAGGAGGAACGTATAGCGAGGGCCGGGAGGAGGGAGTAGGAGGGTGAGAGGGCAAAAACCATCTTCCCGGTTTCTCCGTTTAGCCCCCCGATATATCCTCATCCGCACGAATGTTCGCGCCACTCGGCTCGCTCTCTGGACTTTCGGCTGTATCGACCGGCCCTAAAACATCCCTCCCTTTCACTCTCCAACCTCGAACGACCCTCCTGCCGGGTGTTCCACCTCTGTCTGCGCTCTCTCCCTCTCGCTCCCGGGGGCTGATCGACCGCGTTGCTTTCATCGTCTCAGGCTTTTCCACGGAGCCCTCAAGCTTCCCTTCCCTCCCTCCCCGCCGCCAGGACGTAGCATTTAGGTTCACCCTCGGTGAGTCTTCGCGGGAGACGCAGCCCCCTTCGGCGACCCGCCTATATTTTGTATTACCGGGATTTACGCGCGAGAGAGCCTTGTAAACGGGATATGCGCCGTGACGTTGCACGTGTAAACGCGTGGGCGTCGTCGAGGGGGAAAGAGATAACGGCCGGGGGCGACCTGCATGCGTGTGCATCCGCGATTTCGGACGTAGGGAATTCCGCCGCATTGAACGCGCGCGTATCTGCCTTTCACGTACGTATGCGCTGCATAACGCGCGCGCCAGGAGAGAGATAGCGCGCTGACGTCCAATATAATAGGGATATATGCACTCGGGGATACGTCGCCGATTCAACGTGACCGCTAATATATTCGGATTAGAATCTGCTTGGAGGCTCTTTCTCCTCTTTTTCGTCGGAATGCAGCCCGCTGTATACGTTTCCGCTCGCTCACGTCTCGCGGAGGATCCGTAAATGACACGGACGAAATGTGTCGTCCTCCCGAGAGAGACGAGTCTGCTTGATTCTACTCGACTTCGCCTCGAGTGAGGAAGGTTCGGTGTCGGGAAAAAGCCCGATGAAATGATTCGAGCGAACGATCGCGGATAAAAGAGGCCACGCGATGATTCGTCCGCGATAAGACGGTGATTGCGAAATGACGAGCGCGCCTTAATTATTCCTTATTNTTATGCCGCGCACGGGAGCCGTGTCTTAAGTACTTTGTCATCGAGTGGCTTGCGCGCAACAGTCTGTCACTGTACGCGTATCCCCGGGGTTAATTTACGACGCAGTGGAACGGCAGAGCCGCTACGGCAAGATAAATTACTTTTGCGCAGCCCGGTATAACGTATCGCCTACCATGAACGGGACGTTTCTTTCGCGGCGACGCGCGAAGAATTTCGCGCGAGAGAGAGAGAGAGAGAAGAGAGGAGTAAATCCGCGCGAGCTGCGACGTTGGGATAGTAGATACGACATCGAGCGTAATGTACTTCCCGTCGGGGGCCACGACGAGCAAAAAGAGTAACGAAATGGAGAACGACCGTCCACACCTGCAAACACACTCCCACACACATCACACAGTACACACGTACGCAACATCGCCTCGAATCTCTGGCACGACTTGTCGCCGCCTGTTGCTGTGCACGGATGCTTCCTCCGCGATGTTTCCGGTAAGACGGTGGTTGTTTCAGTCGCCGTGCATTCGGAATCAAGTAGGGTTGTCACGTCTGACCGAAAGAAACGCGGACGTGTCCCTCGTAATTTGCCGTTTCTTCTCGCCGCATTCTCGCGCCCGTCGATTTATACTCCGCTGTTTCGCGACTCTCTCGCTCCTCCCGCGATCAGAAATTCCTCCGAGGCGGGATGAAGAGAGTAACAGCCGAGCCGCGAGGTATATATTTTTAAGCGCGAGTCTTAAAATTCAGGAGGAACGACGCTGCGAATTTCAACTCGGTTCTCGCCTCCTCGGATCAATGGCGGATTAACGAGCTATTGCCCGGCCCGAGTAGTCGCCGGTGAGACTCGGAGCGCAGCTCGGGACGATAAATTTCATGGCTATCTTAACTTAGCTCTCGAGGAGAACTGTAAACTACCGCCGGGCGGGAGGGAGAAAAAACAAGCAACCGACGATAGTCGCGAGCTAATCGCGGGAAAATTATCGGAGCGCCGCCGAGCGTGGCGAATCGAGAGTATCTCCCTTTCTCTCTCTTTCGCGAATAAATTGATTTTCATTTCGATATTTTCGCCCGTGACGTTTCTGCTCGTTACGTCCGGCCGATTGAGCAGCTTCCGCCCGATCGCTCGGACGAACGCGCGTTAACGCATACGTATACGATAAAGCGATCATTATTCCATCGAGTAATTTCCCTCAAAAAGAAGGAACAATGAAAGAGGGAGAGAGGGGAGAAAGAAGAGAAAAAGTAGGGAGGAAGGAGGGAAGAAAAAAAATGATTGTAGATTAAATCGCGCCTCTCGTTGATATTCAACGAACGTCGCGTGGCTCTCGCGACGAAACCAAGTCCACCGAGCGATCTTTTTTACTCCTCCGCGACGAAGCTCCCCCTCCCTCCTCCTATGTATATATATATATATATATATATATGAGCAGCGTCGTTGACTTGCGGCACCGTCGCGGCAAAGACAGCGGAGCGTAAGGCGCGTATCGGGTAAGCGTCAAAAGCTCGCGGCGACTCGTCGCAACAGCGGGTTTCTCCGACAACTCGGGTTTCTCAAAGTGGCGACGTCGACGCGACTTCGGCTCGCGTTTATTTCGTTAATGACGACAGCGTGCGCCGCAGATTAATGAGGCCGGTGCGGCTGACGACGTGGCGACGCGTCGAATATCGACGAGGGCGAGCGAACGAACGGACAGACGGACGGATGGCGGGTACGCGCGATCTGTTCCTAACTCATATGGCTCTGTGAGTTACGAGGCCTCGAAAATGGACATGGAGAGCACCGCCGTCCGGAGGATCATCGCGATTCGAGAGCATACGAAGCGATAGGGCATACATCATATCGTCCGGTCGACAGCCCCGGTGATAGCGCGCGAGCAAATATCCTCGAAGCGTCTCGCGCGAAAAGCGGCGAATCGCGAAAAGTCTGCACGACGACTCACTCACCTTCTTCAGGTCCTTGCTGGCGTCGGCGTCCTCGGCCTTCCTCTTCTCGGTGATCTTCGGCGCGGGGACCGCGACCGTCGCCTCTCGCAGCGGCTTCAACTCGACCTGCAACGGGAACGAGCGCACATTCATTATTCTGAGCTCGCGTTTCACGCCTAGCCGAGCTAACGACGCGCCGTTGGCGCGACTTTAATTGTATTTTCGAAACATCGTTGGAAAACCCGTTCGGAGCCTCCTTTTAATCATCGGCTCGCGCCGGTAAATCGCGACGGTTCGACGGGAGATGTCCGACAATACGCGCGGCATTATCGGCCATTGTGCGCTATCTGGATGTCGGCGTTGATGTTGCCGCGCCCGCCAAAAGCTCGGACGCATCGATTTATGGTAATTCGGTTAACTCGTCTCTATTTTACGCGCGCGCGTTTACGTCCCACATACTAATCCGGCGTTAATGGAACGAGTAAATACAGAGCGGAGTCGCCGCGACAGAGGTTGATTTGGCGCCTGATAATTCGACACCGCTGCGCTCCGGTAATGACCTCGCCCCCCCCCTTCGATCCGGCCGAAACGCGAAAGTACAGGCGAGACGGGCGGAAGGATAATCAACACGGTCGAAATCGTTGGGGTCCACGGCGAGCCTTAATCGGTATTACGGAACGAGGAGGTGGACGAGTCTGGACCGCTTTTGAAAATCCGTCCGTCTCGCGACGGCGACGCGCTCGGTGAGCCGACGACGGACTTCTGTGTTTTCGCGCACGTTAATATCATTTGGTTCCCTTAATTAAATTAAACGCCACGGCGACGTGAGGCATGTTCCTTCAGGCTTCGCCCGCCTTCCACTTGCCGCGTTTAAAGCGAAGCGAGAAAGAGAGAGAGTACGTCCCGGGCGGCGAGCGGAAAACAAAAAGATCGAGGATAATTGCAGAAAGTGCAGTTGAAACGAAGGGAAAAAAAAAGACTTATGGAGTACGTGGGGGAATAGTAGAAAAGCTTCCCGAAGCCCGCTATTCTTCCTCGAAAATGCAGTTGAACCGAGGGTTAACGCAATTGCGTCGCGCAATTTGCATAACGACGAATTAACGAGATTACATCGCGCGTCCTATTAGCCGCCCGTAATTCTGTCACTGAGATATCCAGATTACGCAGAAGAGGAGACCCAGCGCGAGACTTCAGCCCGCGCATTCTGCGAATAACACACGGTACTTCGTCGAAGGAGCCTCGAGGACGGAAGGGAACGGGAGAGAGACCGAGAAAGTACACGCGAAAGTACAAGAGACCACCGACACACAGCTCAGACGCATTCCTTAAAAATCGGAAGAGATGCTAAATAAAGGAATACTCGGTGCTCATCAAATATCCACCGGACTGATACAATCTGTCCGTAAATCGCCCGACCATAATCGCATCGAGCGACGTATTTCGGAAGCTACGCGAGGTTACGCGCATTCAATTCGCGGAGGGCATTCCGTCGCGATATTATCGATAGCGCGATCCATTGAATCCACCGCGCGCGGGCCGAAATTCGCGAGTGGACGCGAATCGAGAGAGCAGTTTTCCCAGCGTGTATCAATACACTCGGCCGACAAATGTCAGCGCGATTCGGCGGTCGAACCGACGAACGAACGAATTGCGTCCGCATGGCCGACATATCGAGTCGAAATCAAAAGATCGATCGGACACGCGGGTATTATTTCGCAAACGGATCGCCGCGCATTCGGCGCGAATGAGGCCTTAGGGTCGCTAGGGTCGCCCCTGACAACGCCCTTGCCTGCATTGCGGTAGCTCTTTCTCTCCACCCTGCGATATCCTTCCACCATAACGCTCGAAAACGCCCTGAGAAAAGGTACGGGCGAGCCGATGAGCTCTCGAGGAGGGGAGCCCGTTAGGTCGAATCGCAAGCGTAATCCTCGAAATCGCGAGATGCTCCGAGGAGAAACGTAAAAAACGACGTCGCGGAAAAGCGTCGCCTTTCATGTCAGGACGCGCGCGTTCGTCGGAGTAATTTATGTTCGTCTCGAGTTCTCTGCGTCTCGTGCGCGCGTCTCGCGCTCCGGTTCGCGAAATTGGCTTAGTTCTCTCTCTCGTGGCGATTCGTCTCCCTTAAAATAGCCGAAAACGCGGCAAACGAGACCGAGGAGATCCCGTCGCCGTGCGGTACGTGTGACGTCTTGCGAAGACGTGTGTGCGTGGGGAAGCACACGCTGCTGTACGTTCGAGACTTCCTTCGTTGCCGGTGGGTCAACGAAAAAGATGACGGATAACCGCTCGAGACGTCGCGCCAAATTTCTTACCTCCGCTAAGCTCGGCCGGACGCGCCGGTCACGTTAACGATAGACTTTCCGTCTGGCGAGCTTCTCGCTCGATGGAAATCTCGAGCGGCTAATTGCGAAGACACTCGAGTTCGGAAATCAGCTTTACGAGGAAATCTTCGACGGAAGATTGACATTCGTATATAACGACCATGTAACGAGAAGCCGGTTGCATTGTGCGCCCGCTATATTTATCGATTTACCCCTGGGAGACGATTCCCGAGGTAAAGCGACCTCGTTGTCGCCGTGTAAGCGCGCGCGCGCGCGCGTGTGTATTTATGAATAAATCCGAGAACACAGAAGTCGCGACAAAAGGGGAGCGGCGCTTTTCTTCGGAAAACGGGCCAACCATCGGGGATTCGTCCATCCCGGTCACGTCACCGACGATACATATATAATCGAGAGAGCGGACCGCCTCTATTCAGAATTCGCTCCGCCGCTGGAACTCAATTTATCCGTTTATCGCGCCCCCCGAATGGACAGCCGAGGTAATACACTTCGGAGTCATTAACGATAACTCCCTACACTTTGTGCGCCGTCGAAGCCGCGAATTTTTCACGAATTTCCGCCGCCAAATTGCCACGTTTATCGACTTTGCGACACGCAAAATAAGAGAGAGAGAGAGAGAGCGTGCGTTGTTTTCGAAATTCACCGCTCTGTGACGCCGTGTTATCGTGTATATTATATTAACTATAGCGAGAGCGTATGAATATTCAGCGACCCGCAGTTTCTCGTTGTACTATGGCCGGTGTGCGCCGCGATTCGCCCCGTGAAAACGCTTCTCACGCCGATGATGAGAGGAAACGCGCCGCAGGATGTGGGCTTGTTTTTAGCCGGACGCTACTTCTCTCATCACCCTCGACTGGAAGCCGGAAAGCCAGAAACTCACTCGCTTCTCTTCGCCGCCTTGGCGACTCGCAATTAATCGAGCGCCGGTCGATGTTTAATTCGCAATTACCGTTCGGCGTCTAAGCGCCGGCTCGCATTATTACGCGTTATAACCGCGTCTCTCGACAGGTGCGCGCGCGCGCTATGTAACGTAACCACTGATTGACGTTTCCGGCGACCACCTACAGGAACAACGAAGAAATTGGGAAACGAGCGGCGCCCTGGAACGGTCGTTACGTCGATTACAGCGACGAGATGAATCATACGAGCGAGCGAGCATGATAGCTTCATGGGCGCTCGAAGGCGCGCATAATCGACTTGATGACGGCGAGATCGTCGATTAATTAATTAATTAATTCAATGCTGTCGACGGCACTAAAAGAATCGGCGGTCGGGGCGGAAGGGAAAAACGCGTGAATTTATAAAAGTGTACAAAGCGACGGCCACGCGAGTTATCGCTCAACTCGTCGCAGCGCTCTCGAGCGCAAAGGCCCAATTTTTCCGCGATCGGTCTGGATAGAAAAAAACAACGCTCGCCGGGTATCATCGAGACCGGCGTTAATTAATAGTCGCGCCGCGTAAACGGCCGTTCCATCGACAACGGCGGCAATAATTGCCGCTGGCGTGACAACGATTTATCACTCTCGCCGCGCGAGTATTTCGCCGCCGCGGCCGTCGTTAATCACTATCACGAAGAAGTATCTCGATACTCTCCCCGCGAGTCGCAACAATGCTATTAATTACGAATTGCTTACGAATATTAGGTCGCGCCGCCGAGATATCTCGCAGTGGACGCAAGAGCGTTAAACTATACACTACCGAGCGAACGAACGCAAACTTCCGTTGCTGCGATTTGGAAAATGTGCACGCCATAATGAACGGGCAGATTTGCTCGTGAGATGCCTTATCAAGGAAAGCGTTCGTGCACGCTTAAGCGCAAACATTTACACATTCGCTGTCCGTTCGTTGTTTGCTCGCTCAATGTATACCCACTTTTACGTGACGCAATGCAGATTTTGGAATTGTTCCCCCTTTAGAAACCCTTTCCTTAAAACATCGGCAACTAACACTAGTCGATTACGCGTGCAAACACATCACGAATTTCTCATAGGCGCGCGCGCGCGAGAGAGAGAGAGAGAAAGAGTAGTCCTCCGCAGACGGATTATATTCGCGTTAAAGAAGACAAGCCATTTTTCCAAGAAATCATTTCAGAAAGCATCCGCCTGGCAATGTGTCAAAAAAGAACGGAACGGCGCGTCGTATATTCAGCAGATACGCCACCGGCGTATAGAAGGCAGGGTGCGGTCGCGCGTGAACGATAAGCGTTATCGCGGCCTGCGAATAATCCATCGGCCCCGAGTAATTCGCTGCGAGCGGGCTAATTAAGCGAGAAAGCGCGCGCGTACCGTTACCGCGGCATATTAAATTGAAGGAAAAACGGCGTGACGCGGGGAATACGCGCTTGTCTTCGCGTCTACCTCCTTCAAATCCGAGAGCAAGTCGGAGCAAAGCGAGCGTGGGAAGTGAGCGCGCCGGTATGGGCGGAAGAGGCGGCGGCGTTGGTCGCGACTTCGTTAAGCCCGGGATGCCTCATTTCCTAATGGACGCGGCACCTCGCCTGTCTTCTCCGCCTCATTTTCTCCGTCTCTGCCCGCCTGCTCGCGCTTTCTGCTCTCTATCCGCCGGTTAAATACCACCGGCGAGCGCGAAAGGGCGAAGCTTTGTTAAAGCGCCGCTTGATAAGCGTCCTCCGCGCCGCGGACGATTCCGGACCGACGATGCCGGTGTCTCTCTCTCTCTCTCCACGGTGATTGCCTTACGTTTCGGTTTCTCTCCCCGGCGATCCCGAATCGACTTTTGCTTTTCGGCGACGGAAAGCGAAACGAAACTTCGACAGAGTTCGCTCGT